ATTAAATCATAGGTTAAGAGGATAAGAAGCATTTGCAGTAATTAATCCTTTTGAGCCCGACCTAACTTATTTTCTAGTCATTTGTTACGATAGAAGGTCCTGTCTGTCTGCGTGACCGTTCAATTTCTTTTTCCATTCTTTCCTTCTAATAAACATTATATTTCCCTCTTTCATAATATTTTTCTCAAAATTTTTTGTTATTGTACCATTCTCCTTCCTTTCACCTATGATCTCGGGTTTTTGAGTTAGAAATATTTTTCATCAAATCATTTCTTAACATTACTTTGACATTCAACACTTTTATTACCTAATCTATTCAGTTACGTTATTTAGATTTTTTTTACAAGTTTCCCTGGGATAATGTTTTCTTCATTCTTCTGAAAGACTTACCTTTGTTTAACAGGCCCCATGTCTTCATTACACGAGAGTAAGCGAACTCGTTTCAACCAACATATGCTAAGCACTGCCTTATCATAGAAATGATAATTAATACTTTCAAATTAATTTCTTATATCAGCAATATATTAAAAATTTTTGGGGCATATCCTTAAATGTGTTTAAACTTCTACAATCATAATTTCTAATTTAGAGAATTAATTAGGCAAATTTTACCCTGATTTTAGGTTTCTTTGCTATGTTTAGATCACTTTTATGAAAAAAAAGATAGACCTTAAATGTCCCTTTGAAATTTCAGTGTGTCGAAGTAGTGAATGAGTGCAGTACTGGGAAAGCGGACTGCTCCTGCAATGCTGATTGCTTTGATCGAGCTGAAGGTTATGAGTGCAAGTATGTCAGATTCAGCTAGAATGTCAGATTACTGTAAGATTTGGATGTGTGGCTTTAGATGTCGCCCTGGATTCGTGGACGCTTCTCCAGATGTCGTACACTATCCAGGAAGAGTTTGCAATAAGCCAAAATCGCCAGAGCATTATGGTCAGACTAGCAGACAGGTGTGAATGAATTCGAGTAGATGAATGATTGGCGAATAAATGAATGAATGATTTAAGCCTCAATGCCGTACTTCGGAGCAATGTGGCCCGAATGAAGAATGT